TGCTCAAGGGCAGCCCCTTCCTTCATCCCGGGGACAAAGCGGGATGTGCGGGAAGGAAAAGGGATTGCAGCAAAATGCCCCGGCCAGGGGCACCCCACCGGGGACCGGGGGGGGGGGGGTCACTCCGGGGCTGCTCAGAGGGGAAAAGCCATGGAAATCCCACATGTTCCTATGATCCCCCCTGCACTGGGACACGGGCAGCGCTGGCGGACGGGGCCCGGAGAGCCGGTGGTGCCCTGCAGCCCTCCCAGCTCCTGGAGCGGGGCAGGTTTGCCCCATGGAAAACCTCCCCATGGAGTATCCGGGCGGGACTGGGGGGAGCCGGAGCCCCGGGGCTCTGTGCAAGCTCCTGCCCAGCTCCGTGCCTCAGTTTCCCTTTCCACCGCTCCCCTGACTGCAGCCTCCTTGGGACAAGGAGCCCGGGAGAGAAGGGGAAGGCTCCCCGTGATGGGGTACCCCAGATCCATGCTGGACCCCCCTTCCCCTCCATCAGCTCTCCCATGGGAGCAGCTGCTGAAACATCCCCCAGATTCCCACCATTCCCAACGGGACGAGCCGGGCAGCACCAAAGTCCTTTCCACATCCAACTTAGCAAGACCCTGCCTTTACTCCCTGCCTTGCCCCAGCACTGCAGGTACGAGCTGCTCCATTCAAAACCAGAGCGATGCTGTGAGGGGGTCGGCGACAAGGGCAAACGGCCCCAAAGCGGGACCACGGGGACCACCACGTTCCAGCATCCTCCTGCCCTGCTACGGAGGATGCCCCGTGCCCGGTGCCTGCATCCCATGGGGAAAACCACGAGGGAAGCTCTCGGCATCCCCGCGCTGGATCATCTCTTCATCTCTCCTCTTACTCTCCCCCGGCGCAGAGGTGAAACGCGATAAGGGGACGAGGAGCTCCCTCCTCACGCCTCGGCCCTTCCCCGCATCCCACCTTGCTCCATGCACGGCGGCAGCTCCGTGGGGACCCTTCCTGATGGTGGCAGCGCCGGGGAGGGGTCCCGAGCCCCGAGGCCACGGTGAGGGGCTGAGCGGCGGCTTCTCCGGGGCAGCGCTGGCGGGAGGGCTGGGACCGAGCTCCACCAGGCATAAGTGCAGGCAGCGAGCAAAGCGGAGCCCTGTACGTGTGTGTGTGCGGCCGTGCCCTCGTCTCCTTTTCTTTTGCCTTCTTTTCCCTTCCCCTTTCCCTCCTCCTTTTATATTTATTCCTTCCCCTCATTAAAGGGGGGGGGGGGGGGAACAGGCGATGACCGTGTTGGCACCAGCGCCTTGTCCCTCCCCTTCCCTCTTTTCCCTCCCTTCCCTCCCTCCTGGCAGCAGGCAAACCCAGCACAAGATGCTGGGAGAGGAGGATGCTCAACCCTGGCACGCTGTTTAACCCAATGCAGCACAAGTGGAGGAGCAGCCGGCGCTGGATCCCAAGGACATGGCTGGAGAAGGGATCCCCCCCTCCGCTTCCACACAGCCGGGAATGCCCTTTGGATGCTGAATTCTACCACTTGGCAGCTCCAGCTGGATGAGGAGGGGGCGTGGGCAGGGGTCTTTGTCATGGAAAATCCCTTTTGGGAGTGGATGGAGGGACCCGCCCCAAAAGGGTTGGGGAGAGAAGCCGGACCCGGGCTCCCGTGCCTCAGTTTACCCACCTGCAGCCGTGTCACGGGCACTTAACGCATCTTTAGGCTTGATGCCTCGCAGACTCCTCTTGAAGGGGCCCCGCGGGGGTGCGGAGTGCAGGTGAGGACCCTCGTTTAGGAGCAGGGCAGTGCCCATCGGCCAGCCTCAGGGCTGCGCTTCCGCGGAGCCGGCTCCCGCTGGGTGTGATGTGGAGCATCCTCTGGCTCCTGCCAGCTAATTGCAGGGTGAGTTTGCAGCAAACTGCAGCTCCTGAGCGGAATTCATCATTCCTCACCCCGGGAATTAATTACGGCGGCCTCGTGCTCGGTGCAGTGCGGGGGGGGGGAAGAGGGGGGATGCTCTGCCCTCCAGCGATAGGGATGTGCACTGGGATGTGGTACCCAGCTCTGCCCCCCCTCCCCGCCGAGCCCCATCCATGAGCTCACATCCTGCACCCGGTGGTTTTGTGGTGAAAGGCTCCGGGTTGGGAATCGCAGAGCTCAGCAAGGAGCATCCCCATCCTAATTGGGAACAAATGTTCCAGCCTGGATGGGGTTTCTGCTTTCCAGCGCTGTCCTGGGCTCGCACCCAGAGCGGGAGCATCAGGTCATGGAGGGGATCGTGCCTCTCTGCTGCGCTCCCCCCCCCCGCATCCTGCATCCAGCTCCGGGGCAGCAGCACAAGAGGGACCTGGAGCTGCTGCAGCGAGGCCAGAGGAGGCCATGGGGATGCTGCGAGGGCTGGAGCTCCAGTGCCTAAAGGGGCTGCAGGAAAGCTGGAGAGGGGCTTGGGACAAGGGCCTGTAGGGACGGGACAAGGGGAATGGCTTTAACCTGCCCAAGGGGAGATGGAGGTGGGATCTTAGGCAGAAGCTCTTCCCTGTGAGGGTGGTGGGACACCGGGATGGGTTGGATGGAGAACGTTTGGATGCCCCATCCCTGGCAATGTCCAAGGCCGGGTTGGACACAGGGGCTTGGAGCACCCTGCTCCAGTGGAAGGGGTCCCTGCCCATGACAGGGGTTGGAGCTGGAGGAGCTTTAAGGTCCCTTCATCCCAACCCATTCTGTGGTTCCATGATTCCATCCGTGCTGGCTCGGAGGACACCTTCCAGGGCCGTGGCTCTGCCTGTCCCTTCCCAGGGCAGCTCCTGGTCCTTCCTGGCTGGTGGCATTGGTGGGGAAAAGCTCTTGGTACCTCCAGGTGCTGGAAGGGGTAAGGGAAGAGGAAGAAGAGCAAAGTGGCAGCAGAGCACAACCCCTTATTAGACAGCAGAGAATCTCCATCCCTGCCTGCAGCCACTGAGGGTCTCCCAGCCCTTCCCATTGCCCCAGGCCCAGTCCCAGCAGCCAAGGGCATGGGAAGGGGTCCAGTCCCCAGCTGGATCCAGGCTGGAAGAGCCCCAGTGCCCAGATGTGCTTCCTCCTCCTCCTCGTCCTCCTGCTCCATCCCTGCTTGAAGTCACGTAGCAGCTCTGACACGTGCCTTGTACCAAGCTGGCTGGCACCAGGCATCCCAATCCCATGGGATCATGACCCCGAGCATCCCCCAAAGACCTCCCCATCCCATAGGATCCTGACCCTGAGCATCCCCGAGAGACAAAGACATCCCCATCCCATGGGATCTTGACCCCGAGCATCCCCCAGAGACAAAGACATCCCCATCCCATGGGATCCTGACCCCGAGCATCCCCCAGGACACAGATGTCCTTATTCCAAGTGATTCCCAACGCTGAGCACCCCACAGGAGGAAGGGATACACAGACATCCCCACCCCCGGGTGTCCCCCCAGGCTCCCCCAAGAAGGGAAGTGCTGGGACCCCTCTACATCCCTGGGGATCCCGAGTCCTCCCTTGGGGTGCAGGATCTGGGTTGTCCCTATGGGAGAAGGGATGCAGTGAAGGCAAAGCAAAGGCTTGAGGAGGGAGAGGGGTGTAAGGCCGGCTCCGGAGCAGATGTGCAGCTGGAAAGAAGGGAAAGGAGGAGGATGAAGGCTCAGGCAGAGCTCTGGGGACCGGGAGATGAATGACCCAGCCTCAGCGCTCCCCGTGCTGCTTAATGGCATTTCAATCCTGGCTGCGAGAGGCGAAGCAGAGCCTGGCCAGCGAGCCAGGCAGGAAGTCTGGCCGGAGATGAGTCGGGAAGACGATGCCTTTGGGGACCCCCAAGTCAGAGCATCCCCCCCCCCACCTTAACACTGAAGGGGCAGAACCCGGTCCCTTCCAACAGGGACACGGAGCCCGCAGTGGTGGAAGGAGCCTGGGGACAGCGCTGGGTGGCCTTTGCCACCAGAGGGGACTATTGCTTGTGTCTGGAGCTCGCCCGGAGCCGCCCCTTGGGACAAGGAGGGAAAGGGCGTTTTCCCTTTCCCTCTGTTCCTAGGGGGGACCGAGGGCGCATCCCATGGGAGAGCGGCGGAGGGACGATCCCAAGGGAGAGCCTCAGGGAAGGGGAGGCCGGGGGGGGGGGGGGTAACGCCGGTTGCAAGTTTCTCCCCATCTGACGTTTTCCTGCTTCTTTTGTTCCCGAGTTCCCAGTTCGGAGCCTCCTCCCCTCGCCCCCCGCGTTGGAATCAAATGTGGAGCCGGCTCTTGCCAAGTCCCGGGAGCGGAACCGGCTGCAGTCGCTGCTGGGCTTCCCATGTGGAATGCGAGGAGGCTGCAGCTGGACACAGCTGGATGCAGCACCCCAAGGGGGGGGGGGTGGCCGGGGTGATGCCCTGTGCGTCCCCCCCCCCGCTCTGTCCCCCTTGTGCCAAAGCGATGTCGCTATGGATGCAGGGCACTGAGCTCGGAACTGGTCACCGAGGGCAGGGGTGTTCCCAGCCAGCACCTTCCCGGAAATGTGGGACCATAGACGGGCTCCATTGGGCTCCCTAAGCCCCACGGTTCCGAGCAGCAAGGAAGGGATGTCCTCATTGCCAGCCCACCTTTGGACATCTCCCATGCTCCATGCCGAGACCCAGAGAGGCCCCTCCAGCCCCACAGCAGCTCCTCCAGCCCCACGGCAGCTCCTCCAGCCCCACGGCAGCTCCTCCAGCTCCACAGCAGCCCCTCCAACCCCACAGCAGCCCCTCCAGCCCCACCGCAGCCCCTCCAACCCCACAGCAGCCCCTCCAACCCCACAGCAGCCCCTCCAGCCCCACAGCAGAGCACTCAAGCTTTGAGAGGGGGAGATTTCCCCAGCCAATCCATGCCGGGGGGGGATCCAACCCCTTCCACCACCTTCCTAAAGTGCCAAGGAACACCTTGCTCTTCCCCAAGGCTGGAGCATCACATCTGGCTCACAGCTGGGGGGGGGCTCAAGCGGCTGGAGCCCGTGCGAGCTGGAGCCAGGCAGGAGCGGAAGGGTTAAACCTGGCGGCTCGCCCGGGCCGCGGGGGCCTCCCACTTGCCCAGCGTGCAGTATGAATAGCTGCGCTCCCCTCTGCTCCAGGCACTCTTCCCTCCCTGCCCTCCCCTCTTCCAGAGCATCCCCCGGCAGCGATGCTGAGCACGGCGAGCTTGAGCGGGCCGAGAGCCCTGGGCGAGGAATCGCTGCAGATGTGGGAGCTCAACAAGCGGCTGGAAGCTTACCTGGCCCGGGTCAAGGTGCTGGAGGAGGAGAACGAGGCGCTGAGAGCCGAGATCCAGAGCGCCAGGAGCGGCCCGGCCGGGGACCAGCGGCGGGGCAAGTACGAGGAGGAGCTGCGGGCGCTGCGGGACGCGCTGCGGGACGCCTACAGCGGGAAGTGCGCGGCGGAGCTGGCCCGGGACAGCCTCTACGAGGAGGTGCAGCAGGTGAGGAGTAGGTGCCAGAAGGAGCAGGCGGCTCGGGAAGCGGCCAAGCAGCAGCTCTCGGTGAGCAGGAAGGAGCTGGAGGAGGAGAGGAGGGCGCAGATCTGGCTCAAGGAGAGCGCCGTGCGGCTGCAGAAGGAGGTGGAAGCTCTGCTGGAGGTGCACGAGGAGGAGAAAGCGGGGCTGGAGCAGGACCTCGCCGGCTTCTCGCAGAGCCTGGAGAGCTTCCGCTGCGCGCCCGTGGCTTTCCAGCCCCTGGAGGTGGAGGATTACTCCAAGAGGCTCTCGGAGATCTGGAAAGGGGCGGTGGAGACCTACAAGACGGAGGTGTCGCAGCTGGAGGGTTCCCTGTGCCAGGCCAAGGAGAGCCTCTGGAAGGCTGTGGAGGAGAACCAGCAGAGCCAGCTCCAGCTCCAGCGCCTGGAGAAGGACCTGGCCGGGCTCAAAGCGCGGAAGGAGATGCTGGAGGAGTCCTTGTCCCGGCAGTGGCAGGAGCAGCGCGGGGAGGCAGAGAAGTTCCAGGTGGGTGAAGGAGCAGAGCAGCTCCGGGGCATCCCTGTCCCCACCACAGCGAGGACCAGCGGGGCAGCACCCGGACACCGGCTCCGTTCCCATCCACCTGCCTGGAGCCGCTGCTCCGCATCCCAGAGGAGCACCCGGTGCTGGGTGCAGGCAGCGGAGGGGGGGGGGGGGGGGTCATGGGCAGGGTAAACTCCGACCGACTTTGCTGCAGCTGCAGCCCAACAGCTGCAAAAGTCATTCAGCAGAGGGGGAATGGGGCTGGAATGCCGGGATAGAGCCCGGGGAAGGCGCCCTCTTTGTTCCAGGTCCAGGGATCAGACACGGGCACCACAGAGAAGCCAAAGACTCTTCTTTCCCACGCTGGCATCCCGCAGTCCTGAATCCCGCGGCATTCCCTCCCTCGCAGCCCCCTCCCCATCACTCTGTGCCATCCTTCCTCTCCTCGCCCCCTCTCCCCATCCTCAGCCCCCCTCAAACCAAGCGCCCAGGACCCCTTTTCCCTATGGAACGGAGGGCGGGTGGAAGCAGGAGCCCCCCGCATGGCCCCGTGTCCGGCAGGGCTGGGACAGGGCTGAGGTGTCCCTGTTGCCATCCCGCAGCTGGCGCTGGAGGCCCTGGAGCAGGAGAAGCAGAGGCTGCGGGTGCAGATCGCCCAGGTCCTGGAGGACAGGCAGCAGCTCATGCACCTCAAGATGTCCCTGAGCCTGGAAGTGGCGACCTACAGGTGAGGTCCCGGCGGGGATGCGGATGGGGACCACGGCGGGCACGCACGGAAGATGCTTTGGGGGGGTCCTGCAAAGGGGGTGTCCCTCTTCCAGCCCTTCCAGATGGCCACAGACAAAGGCGGCTGCCGGCGATGGGGGGGCACAATTAGCATGAGAATAGGGGCTGTCCCCAGCGCCGGCCCCGGCAGAGCATGATGTCACCGGAGCGGACACTAATCCTGGGAACAGGGGGATGGGGCGGGAGACGGGAGCAAGGGGGGGGGGGGGAATAGAGCAGCAGAACCCCCGCAGCCCTCCCGTGCCTCAGTTTCCCTGCGAGGTGCAGCTCCCACCCTGCAGCACCCAGCATGGGGCACCCACAGCGCTTCCTCTCCCTGCAGGACGCTGCTGGAAGCAGAGAGCACCCGCTTGCAAATGCCAGCGGCGGAATACCGGCTGGCCAACGGCTTGAGAGGTAAGGGACATCCCCGGCTCCATCCCCGGCTCCATCCCGGCTCCATCCCCAGCTCCATCCCTGGCTCCATCCCGGCTCCATCCCCAGCTCCATCCCTGGCACCAGGATGGGGGATTTTGGGATGAGGCTCGATATAGACACAACTTTCCTGGCTGGTTGCTCAGCTCTGATAGGAAGGTGTGAACAGCATCCAGAGAGCTCCTGGCATGATAAGAGTTTATCATCCCTGTGGGATGCCAAGCCGCTCCCCCCGCAGGAGCACCGGCATCCGCAGCACTCCAGGCAGGAATTTCCCACTTCCCATCAAGGAGCTGTTTAAAAATAGGCGCAGGGGCAGCGAGAGGTGATGGGGGGGGGGGATATGGAGGCGATGGAGGAGCCCCACAAGCGGCTCCTCACCCTCTGCCCCTCGCTCTTTGCAGATCTCAAGCTGGAGGGGAGCAGCAGCACGAAGCTGGGCCCCGAGGCCAGGAGGACGCTGCCCTGGGAGCACCGAGCCAGCCCCTTGCCCCTCACCAGGGCAGAGGGGAGGGGGCAGCCAGGGAAAGGCCCAGGTGATGCTCTGAGCCCCCAGACCCCGAGCGCAGGTACCAGGGAGCTGCAGCGCATCAATGCTGCCCATGGCCCAGCCCCACGGGATGCTCCCAGCTTCCCTGCAGCAAGCCCCACACAGCCCATCCAGCTCCCCCCAGAGCCCCCCAGCCCCATGCTGGGGAGCCCAGGGGAGGGTCCTGCCTGGCCGGGGGGAGATGGGGATGAGAGGAGCCAAGGGAAGGAGCATCCCGCACCCGAAGCCATGGAGAAGCCCCACAGCCTGCGGTACCCGGCCCAGCTGGTCAGCGAGGCGCTGGAGGATGCGCTCAAGGAGATGAAGGATGATGCTCAAGCCAAAGAAGAGCCCATGCTCAGCGCTGCCTGGGCCCTCCGGGGTGCCCCCAGCCCCATTCCCCACACAGAGGCTGTGGCAGAGGGAGGAGAAGGGCAAGACCCCTCCGAGGGTGATGAGGATGGTGAAGCCCCTGAAGCAGAGGAGAAGGTTGAGGAGTTGATGGTCCAGGGGCTGGGTGCGGAGAGCAGCGCCCATTGGGACGGAGCCACGTCCCCTCCTCGTGGCTTTGCTGCTTCCCTAAGTGCCACTGCGAGCCGGGAAGAGATGGGAGAGTGGGAAGAGGAGATTCCCCCTGTGCTGAGCCCAAGGGAACCAGAAGTGGTGGCCCAGGAAGAGGACGTGAGCGGCCCTGGCCAGACAGGGCCCAGCTGGGAAGAGCCAGAGCAAGGGGAGAAGGAGGTGGAGGGCTCAAGCATGGAGGCTTCGCACCCGGAGGAAGAGGAGGAGGAAGAGGAGGAGGAGGGAGCATCCCACGTACCCTGCGGGGAGCACGGTGACTTCCAGGGTGAGGGGATGGATGAGCACCAAGAGGAGTCCCCACCAAGGGAAGCTGCAGCTGCTGGTGCTGCCCTCGGGGGAAGCCACCCGGGCCTGGATGAGGACGTTATGGATGGAGAGCAGGATGATCCTGAGCACCGGGAGCCTGCGTGCGAGGCAGGGCAGGAAAGGGGGCAGGAGGCGTGCCCAGAGCAGGAGGCCTGGAGCATCCATGGGGCCAGCCCTGCAGAGGAGGCTCCGTCGGGGACTGAGGAAGATGCGGTGGAAGGGGAGGGCTCAGGCAGGGCTGAAGGTGAGGGAGAGGAGGGGGAGGCCGTCGGGGGGCTGCTGGGGGCAGGACCCGGAGCCCTGGGCCAGGAGAGCAGAGCCCAGGAGGAGCCGCAGGGAAAGGACTTCATGGAAGGGGAGCGGGAGCCGGAGCAGGGAGAGGAGCCCTGGGGCCAAAAGCCCCCTGCAGAGCACTGGGAGGAGGCAGCGGAGGACACGGAGGGGGCTCTGGGGACAGAGGAGAGCCCAGCGAGCACAGGAGGGCTGGAAGGGGAGGACAGAGCTGGGGCATGGCCGGAGGGAGCCCAAGCAGAGGGGGCTGAAGGGGCTGAGCCGGCCCCGGAGCTGGCGAGGGATGAGCGGGACGGCTCCATGGGGCAGGCGGTCCCCACCGGTCCCCTTGGGCGAGGGGACAGCCCGGAGCTGGCCGAGGCCCTGGAGGAGCCATGGGAAGGGCGGGATGAGGATGCTGATGATGAGGATGCTGATGATGAGGATGCTGATGATGCTCCCGGCTCCAGCCCTGCGGAGCTTCAGCAGGCACCAGGCATGGAGAGGGATGGGGCGTTGGAGGAGGAGGATGGGCCATTGGAGGAGGAGGAGGAGGATGAGGATGGGGGCTCGGGGGAGCTGCAGGAGGCAGCAGGGCCAGGCGGGACGCTGGAGCTGGAGGACACGCTGCCCGACAGTACCCCCCTGCACCTCTATGGAGGGGAGGTGCTGGATGCGGCCCCATCCAGCCAAACCCCTCCGGGGGCTGAGGACACCTTGGAGGCAGCATCTGAAGGAGCTCCAGAGGATGAAGGGTGGCTGGAAGGGAGGGACAAGCCCCCAGCATCCAGCATGGCCCAGAGCCGTGAGGAGGAGGCAGGCACAGAGGGTGCTGAGGAGGAGGAAGGTGCAGAGGGTGCTGAGGAGGAGGAAGGCGCAGAGGGTGCTGAGGAGGAGGAACGTTACTTCATGGTCTCTGCTCCCAACCAAGAGGTTTCCAGCTCGGAGGAAGCCGAGGACTTTGAAGAGATCAAAGCTGAAGCAAGCGAAGGCAGCAGAGATGATGGGGGAGCTCCTGGAGGAGCATCCCCAGCACCAGGGGACCAAGGGCACTTTGAGGCAGCAGCTGGAGCAGATGCAGCCGTGAGGATGCCCACAGAGATGCTGAAGGAGGAGGAGGAGGAGGCTGAGGGGGGTTCCTCGGAGCCGGAGGAAGGCCCCGTTGTGCCCGGGGCCATGGAGCCGGTGGCAGGAGGCACTGAGGAACCGGCCCAAGCTGCTGAACCAGACGAGGAGCTCGATGGAGCGGTGGAGCCGGACGGTGCCGAAACACCCCGACGCTGCAGCCTGGGGCTGGAGGAGGAGGAGGAGCCCATGGCCGAGCCCATCCCTCCGGCAGCGCTCCAGCCCCAGGAGGTGCCGGTTCCTCTGCCCCACCAAGCACAGCAGCACCCATCAGGTGAGCAGCACCCATCAGGTGAGCAGCATCCAACAGAAGAGGAGCATCCATCAGATGAACAGAATCCATCAGATGAGCAGCATCCATCAGTTGAAGACCATCCATCAGATGAGGAGCACCCATCAGTTGAGGACCATCCACCAGAAGAGGAGCACCCATCAGATGAGCAGCATCCATCAGCTGAAGACCATCCATCAGATGAGGAGCACCCATCAGTTGAGGACCATCCACCAGAAGAGGAGCACCCATCAGTTGAGGAGCACCCATCAGATGAGGAGCACCCATCAGATGAGGAGCACCCATCAGATGAGGAGCATCCATCAGCTGAAGACCATCCATCAGATGAGGAGCACCCATCAGATGAGGACCATACACCAGAAGAGCAGCACCCATCAGCTGAGGAGCACCCATCAGCTGAGGAGCACCCATCAGCTGAGGAGCACCCATCAGCTGAGGAGCACCCATCAGATGAGGACCATCCACCAGAAGGCGAGCACCCATCAGATGAGCAGCACCCATCAGATGAGCAGCACCCATCAGATGAGCAGCACCCATCAGATGAGGAGCACCCATCACCTGAGGAGAACCCATCCATGGAGCAGGAAGCAGGGGACGGTGACAGCCCTCTCCCAGCTGAGGACAAGGAGCCCCCCGAGGCTGAGCCACCTCATGCCGGCCCAATGCCGGAGCAGGAGGGCTCCCCAGAGATGCTTGAAGAGCACCCGGATGCCGTGGAGGTGCCGCTGGGCATCCCGGAGGCCCGGGATCTCCTGGAGCTCGTGGAGCAAGCCTTGGAGTTCAACCAGGAGCTGGTGATGGGCGCGAGGGCGGCCGCGGGCAGGGAGCAGGGGCCCGGCGGCACCGAGGATGCCGGAGAAGATTCCTCCCCGACCTCCTCGAGCGTGGAGGAGCCCACGGTGCAGGAGGCGCCGGCGGAGGCGGCTCCGGTGCGCGCTGAGAACGGGCTGCACCGCGCAGCCAGCCTGGAGGACCTGGCTGAGTTCAGTGAGGAGGTGCCCAACGGCATCGCCGGTGCCGCTCCGGCGTTCCCTATGGAGAGCACAGAGCCCACCGCGGCCGGGCCGGGGACCGGAGATGCCGCCGGCACCAAGGCAGCCGATGCCACCGCCTGCGGCAAACACGGCGACACCGTCCCCATCCGAGCCGAGCAGGAGCCCTGCTCCATGGGGGATGAGTGATGGGGACCCCTCCGGTCCCCCCCCACCCTCTCATAACCCTGCACCCTCCCTTGCCACCCCCCACCTAAGGCTCCTCCATCCCCTCATGGTCTTTAACACCTTTGTGTGGGTTTTTGTGTCCCCTCTCCATGAAGAGCCACCAAGGCCATGGGTCGCATGCAGGGACCCGGCCCCATCTCGGCCCCCTCCGGGGGTTTGGTTGTGGCTGTATTTAATTGAACCCCATCTTTTCCCCCTCCCGTCTCCACCCCGCGGGGTGCAGCACCCAAGGGTGGCACCGCGGGGTCCCCGCTCCCCACATGGGGTGCCCCACGCCGGGTGCATTCGCTGCCGTGATGTTAAGTTAATAAAGCCTCAGCCTCCAGCTCCTCTCCTCATTCCAGCCCCAGGGAAGCCTCCACCACGGGTCGGGAACGGGGGCCGCAGGAGGTTGCTCCCCAGTGTCCCCATTGTGCGTCTCCAGGGTGATGGTGATGGTCCCCATCCCCAGGCTCTTGTGACCCCCATCCATGGGTTGATGCTGTCCCATCCCCAGGGCGATGCTCCTGCATCCCTGCTGTGACCCTGGCTCGATGTTCCCTCATCCCCGGGGTGATGCTCCCCATTCCAGGGCAATGCAGCCCCCACCGGGTGATCACAGATCCATGGGATCAGCCAGGGAAAGACCTTTGCCTGGGCGGGAGCGGGACGGGATTCCAGCCCACCCCATCCCAGCGCCAGCGCCTCCAGCCATGAGCCAGCAAACCCAGCCGCTATTCCCGCCTGGATCAGGCAGAATGCCCTTGGGACCGGGACCCCAGAGCACCACACTGGGGCCCCCATCACCCCGATGGGACCCTGATGCATCTGTGCCCCTTTTCCCAAAGGATGCTGAGCCTCAGGATGGGGCTGAGCAGCGCCCGGGGCGGGGGGGGGGGGGGGTTCAATGCCCTTTGTGTGAGCAGGCGTGGGGACGGCGCTGCATGAATCAGCCTCTGGGCACAGAATGGGCTCCTTTATCCTGGGCAAAGGGCTGAGTCACCCTGGGCAAGGGGACAAGACCGGCAGCACCCACTGGTGCTGATGGGTGCGCTCAGCATCGCCCCTCGGGTGCCCGCCTGCCTGGCCCCATGGCTCACCCACGCTCCGGATGCAGCCCGTGCCAGCACCGGGATGCTGGGAGCCGGGGAGCGATAAGGACCCACCATGGCTCTGCCTTTCCTCATGGGAAGCCCCCGGCCCCCCCCAAGCCCGAGGGTGATGGTTTCCTTTTAAGGTGAAACTCCAGCAGATCCAAGCACCGGGATGAAATCAAACACAAGCTCTGGGATGAGCTGGAGCAGGCGCCGAGGCCGGGATCAGCCTGGGCAGCATCAGCCCAATGGCAGCTCCGGTTCCCCCCCCTTCCCCAGTGTCACCCCTAAAGCTGCCCGGTGATGGCAGCGGATGGATGCATGGATGCATGAGGAGATTCCCAAGGCTGGGAAGGAGGGGGGGGGACACATTCCTAATGAAATGAATCCACATTCCAGCCGGTGCTGACAAAGCGACGAGGGGGCACAGATGGTGGAGGGGAGGAGGAGGAGGAGGATGGGATGAGGCTGCCCAGGGCTATGGGGCACCCGGCGGGGCGGGTTCGCAAACCCCAGGGTCCCAAATGTGTCCTCAGTGGGACAAAGCGGGTCCCAAACTGGTCCAAGTGTGCCCTGATGGGATCAAGCATGGCCATGATGGGACCAAGCATGTCCCAGTGATGAGCGTGGCCATGATGGGACCAAGCACGTCCCTGATGGAACCAGGTGCCCCCTGATGGGACCGAGCATCTCCATAGCGTGTTCCAAGCGTGTTCCCAACAGGACCAAGTGTGTCCCGATGGGACCAAACGTGTGCCAATGGGACACAGGGCACCTGCATCCCTCCCATGTCCTGTCCCCCCCCCACTGCAGACCAGGAGCCACCAAACCACAGCAGGCACAGGGCTATGGGGGGAGTGCAGCCATGGGGGGGGGGGGCTGTGGGGCTGCTGCTTTAAGACCCCCCCCTCCCCACCCCATCGCGGCCCCCCGCAGCCAGGAGGGGCTTGTTTGGCGAGAGTGGGATTTGAATGGAGCCACCACAAAACCTCCCTATGGGGTGAGGGCTTGGGGGGGGGGGGGGTTGGGATGACCTCAGCGATGACTTCATCCCGCTCCCGGCTCCCAAAAACTCCTGGGAACCTTATAAGGAAAGGACTAAAAATACAGCGCCGGGGCAGCCCCCTCCCCACAGCGAGCCCCTTGGGGGGGGCGAGCAGGAGCCGCGCTGGGGCCACCAAGGGGTCTCTATGGGCTGTCCCCTGTGGTGGCCCCCCCCGGGTCCCCAGCCCCACTGCAGCGCAAGGATGTGGGGGTCCCATCCCCATTCCCATCCCTTCCCCCCCCGCTCGCCCTTCACCCGGGTCAGACCCCCCGGAATAGCTCCGGTCTCTATATTAAGCTCTTGGCCCGGTTTTGGGGCTCATTCAGCTGCTGGGACCTGTCCCCCCCCCCCCGGCAGCTGCTGCCAACCCGGGGCAATCGCGGATGCCTGAGGCCGAGCCCCGCGGCTGGATCCCGCCGGGAATGTGCGTCTGGAGCCGTCCGTCAGCGGTGGGGCGGGTGGAGGGGGCCCGGGGGCGATGCTCCCCCATTGTGTCCCATCCCATCCCATCGTGTCCCACCTCATCCCATCACATCCCATTGCGTCCCATCGCGTTCCACCTCATCCCACCGCATCGCATCGTGTCTCATTGTGTCCCACCACATCCCACCTCATCCCATTGCATCCCATCGCACCCCATCGCATCCCATCACGTCCCACCTCATCCCACCACATCCCATCGCGTCCCACACCACATCCCACCACATTCCATCGCGTCCCACCACATCCCATCGCATCCCACCTCATCCCACCACATCCCATCGCGTCCCACCTCATCCCACCACATCCCACCTCATCCCATCGCATCCCACCACATCCCATCGCATCCCACCTCATCCCACCACATCCCATCGCGTCCCACCTCATCCCACCACATCCCATCGCGTCCCACCTCATCCCACCTCATCCCACCACATCCCATCGCATCCCACCTCATCCCACCACATCCCATCGCGTCCCACCTCATCCCACCACATCCCATCGCGTCCCACCTCATCCCACCACATCCCACCACATCTCATCGCATCCCATCGCATCCCATCGCATCCCACCACATCCCATCACATCCCATCATATTCCATTGTATCCCTCCACATCCCACTGCATCCCACCACATCCCACCACATCCCATCCCCATGGCAATGAAACCCCTGGGACCACTCTCCCGTCTCCATGAAGCGATGCCCCCTCCCTGTTTACGCACCCCCAGCACCCATAAACAGGGTGCAGGATGCGGCTCAGCGCGGGATGAGCCACCCGTCATTAAGTGGGGTGGGAATGGGATGGGAAGAGGGATGCAGCGTGGGAAGCAGCTCGGCCGGATCCCAACGCACGCAAGTGCCAGCGCCGTGCCTCAGTTTCCCTTCTCATCCAGCCCCAAAAGGAAAGGGGCTGAGGCAACAACGGGACCCCACGGCACCCACCTATGGGACACCGGGGCGGGGGCAGCAGGGGCAGGAGGTGACTCAGCTCCGGACACGCCGCTGACAAAGCGGCTCCTTTCCTTCCTCCTGGAATTGCCGATGTCCGCATGCAGGTGGCACCGGGACAAACAGGGATGTGCCCCCCCCCCGCCCCCCGGATCCATGGACACGCAGGAAAAACCCCCTCAGATCCCGGCTGGTGCCACGGGGGTTGGGGACGGTGCAGGATGTGGGGACAGGATGTGAGCGGGGCCGGTCCTGAGGCACCCCCGCAGCTGGGGCTGGGTCCGGCTTCAGAAGGGGACGAGGCTCCAGAGCGTCCTGCGCAGTTCGGGGGCCCCATTCCCAGTTCAATGTCCCCATTCCCAGTTCGGGGGCCCCATTCCCAGTTCAATGTCCCCATTCCCGGTTCAATGTCCCCATTCCCAGTTCAGAATCTCCATTCCCAGTTCAATGTCCCCATTCCCAGCTCGGAGGCCTCATTCCCAGTTCAGAATCTCCATTCCCACTTCAATGTCCCCATTCCCATTTTAATGTCCCCATTCCCGGTTCAATGTCCCCATTCCCAGTTCAGAATCTCCATTCCCAGTTCAATGTCCCCATTCCCAGCTCGGAGGCCTCATTCCCAGTTCAGAATCTCCATTCCCACTTCAATGTCCCCATTCCCATTTTAATGTCCCCATTCCCGGTTCAATGTCCCCATTCCCAGTTCAGAATCTCCATTCCCAGTTCAATGTCCCCATTCCCAGCTCGGAGGCCTCATTCCCAGTTCAGAATCTCCATTCCCACTTCAATGTCCCCATTCCCATTTTAATGTCCCCATTCCCGGTTCAATGTCCCCATTCCCAGTTCAGAATCTCCATTCCCAGTTCAATGTCCCCATTCCCAGTTCGGGGGCCCCATTCCCAGTTCGGGGGCCCCATTCCCAGTTTGCCGACCCCACGCCAGCCCTTGCCCATCCATCAGGGTGGAAGATCTCCAGGAATCCCGACCACATTCCAGCTGCGGGCCGGGGGGGTCCCTGAAACCCCATCGGGGCGACAACTGCCGGGCTTGGGTTTCGGGGTCACCTCCAGGTCCATGGGACCCCTCCTCCTCCTCCTCCTCCATGGACCCCCCAAACCCCTCCCTGCCGCTGCCCCCCCCAAATAGAGGACATGGAGCCCCCCAAAACTCTTCTTGCTGCCCACCCCCGCGCCCTTTGGGGTCGGACGGGCCCCTATCGCGACCGGCCCCTATCGCGACAGGCCCACATCGCGACAGGCCCACATCGCGACCGGCCCCTATCGCGACAGGCCCCCATCGCGACAGGCCCCCATCGCGACAGGCCCCTATCGCGACAGGCCCCTATCGCGACAGGCCCCTATCGCGACCGGGCGCCTGCGCCTCCCGCACCGCGCACTATGGCGCCCCCTGCGGGTCGTCCGCAGCGCTCG